CCCCCCCCCCCCCTCTTGGAAGGAAAAAAAAAATCTTTTTTTTTCTCTTCCCCCCGATAAAAAAAAATTTTTTTTTTTGGGGGGGGGGGGGGGGGCATTTTTCTCCTCTGTGGAAGGGGGCGGTTTTCTTCCGTCTCGCGGATGATGGGCTCGAGCTCTCGCAGCCAGAAGTAGTAGTTGGCGGCCTGGATGGCCTTGGAGAAACCTGCAGACGCGGTCAGCCGGGCGTGTTGTCAGGGGGTTTGCGGCCTGTATGGAAAGGTGACCGCTCACTGCTCGAGAAGCTGAACATTTGTCCGGCGCCTTGTCCTGAAAAGTACACAGCCATGAACGAGGCGATGAACTGGTAAAAGGTGACCTTTTCCTCGAAGATGAGTTTCGATCCCCACCTAGCCAGTCGTCGCGTCAGCACATACGCGTTCCACGCAAGACGCATCATGCTCGGAGATGGACAGGACGACGTACCAGAAGCCCAGACTCAGGATGAAATACTCGATCGACTGTGTTAGCGCAAACCAAATCATCATGTTGAACAGCCCCGGCAGCGCATCATGGATGGCCGCATCAAGCTGCTCGGCATAATGCGCGAGGACGGTCTGCTCGATGGCGAGCGACGAGACCGTCCGGATGGCTGTCGTCGTCTCCGACGCCACAGAGGAGCTGGCAGCGTACCGCTTGCCCATGTCTGCGTCGATCTTGGCCTCGAGGCGAACCCGAGCATATCCCGCGACGAGCATCGGTGGGAGCCCGACAAAGACGCCAATGACGGCGACGCGCCACGAGATGGCCAGGGCGAGGATGGCACTGATGAGGACGTTGATGCCGGCAATGGTGATGAGACCAACATTCATGCCCATCAGCTCGAATATCGACTGCGGGTACGAGTCGAGCTTGCTCATCAGGGACCCGACCGTGTTCTCCGGGCGGTCGAAGAAGCGGAGGTCCTGCTTGAGGATGCAGTCAAAGAGCTCGTGGCGCGTCCGCCGGGTGAGGACTTGGCCGATCATGTTGCACGCCCAGCCCATGACGAAATAGGCCACGAAGCAGCCGAGACCCATGACGAAGAACATGAGGGCGAAAAGATTACCCCGCGAGACCATGTTGGGCGACGAGGCCGTGTCGAGAACCTGCGCCAGCAAGATGGCTTGGCCGGGGAAGATGGCGGCTGTTTCGTCTGGTCAGCGGCCTTTGAGACGGGGTGATCTGGTCTCGTGGTGTACGCACCTCCTGCCACGCAGGTCACAAGAGTCAAGATGTACCATGCGCGCAGCTCGGGGGTGAGTTTCACCAGCTTGGCGATGGTTCGGAAGAAACCGAGGGGCTTGTATGACTCGAAATCTTCGCGCGCCTGCAGAGCCGCGAGCTCTGACGTCTCTCGTGTGTGCGTCTTGGTGAGGGCCAACCTCGGCTCCAGGTCCGACTCGGCACTGTCATCTTCGACCGCCGTCTTGCTCGACGCGGCATCGCTGGACGGCGCCAGGTCCTGGGCGCGGACCAACTTTGCGTAGAGACCGCCGTGGCTGCAGAGCTGCTCGTGGGTGCCCTGCTCGGCGATGCGGCCGTGGGACATGACGACAATGTTGTCGGCGCCGCGGATCGTGGCGAGCTTGTGCGCGATCGTAATAGTGGTGCGGTTCCTCGAGGCGTTGTCGAGGGCTTTCTGGACGATGCCTTCGGCCTGCGGGTCGAGCGCGCTCGTGGCTTCGTCGAGAAGCAGGATCTTTGGTTCCGAGATGATGCTCCGCGCGATGGCGATCCTCTGCTTCTGACCGCCCGAGAGCAGACTACCTCTTTGTCCGATGGGGGTGTCATATCCCTGGGCTAGGTCGGTGATAAAGTCGTGTGCGAAAGCCAGCTCGGCGGCGTTCTGTACTCGTCGTTTCTTCTCTTCGGTAGAGGCATCTTCCCACGCTGTTCCGATGAGACCCTTGACTATGTTGTCAAAGACGGTGCCATTGAAGAGAACCGGTTCCTGGACAAGGTCAGCCAACGTGCCACTGGGCCTTGTAATCGAAGACAAGAAGAAGTGCCATGCTCTCTTCGTCGCAGACATGGGTTCTTACCTGTTGTACAAGACGGACATTTGTCCTCAGCCACCTCAGGTTGAGGTCGCCGAGGCCGATGCCGTCAAGCGTGATTCTTCCCTGACGTGGGTCATACCAGCGTTCCAGGAGGCCGATGATGGTGCTTTTGCCAGATCCGCTGGGTCCCTACACCCGTGTCAGAGTCGTGTCGACACGGCACTCTCAGCACTAGCCATGACTTACCACCAGAGCAGTGACTTTGCCAGCCGGAACGCGGAGGGTGAAGTCCTGCAGAACCGTCGCCTCGGGTCTGTTGGGATAGGCAAAAGTGACATTCTGGATCTCAATGTTCCCCGCGACGTGGCGAGGCTTCTCGCCATGTTCGCCAAACGGATCAATCGCAGACTCACGGTCGATGAGCGCGAAGAGCTCGGCGGCGGCCGTCGCCGCGCGGCCAAAGGCCAGCATGTGGGGGGCAATCGACGTGATCATCATGGCCGCAATGACGATGGAGAAGACAACCCTGACTCGACATCAGTTCAGGAACGCACGACGGACCAAACGCGGCCGGAATACTTACGTGAAGACGACGCCAATGTTGTCAATCGCGCCCCTGTCGACCATGTTGATGCCCTGCCAGAAGGCCAGACCCATGCCGCAGTACAGCACGGAGTATTCGCCACCAAAGAGGATGCCGTAGAGAACGTTCTTTTTCATGCCGCGTTTGTACGCATCATCGAGGAAGTGTGGCCTTGTACTTGGCGACGAGGCGGTTTCGCAAGCCAAACGCATGGACGGCACGGATGCCGCCGAGAATGCTCTCGCTGTAGCTACCGGCCTGGCGGTACACCTGAAGCATTCCCGTCTCCACGATAACGTCCAGCCATGCAACCAGGCCGCTGATCAGGAGGAGGGCCGGGATGATGCAGGAGATGATCAGAGTGAGTTTCCAGTCGGCGATAAACGCCACGACAAAGGCGGCGATGAACGTCGACATGGCCTGGACGAAGAGACCGAGCTTCTCGGCGGTGCCAGACTGGATGAGCTTGCCGTTCGTCGTTGCCTGCATGGCTATGGAGCCGCTGGCTCCCTGGTCGAAGAAGGCAATCTCCTGGCTCAAGGCGGCGCGGAGGTAGGCGCAGCAAATGTTTCGTGTCATGCGGTGCGCAACATATGTGAAGAGGGACGCGTAAAATATAGGTGCCACAGAATCGCGCAATGCCGATATATACGAATCGAAGACTTGAAATGAGGATGGATCAGATCATCGCCAGTCTAGCTGTTCGGGAGCAAAAGTACTCACGCTGCCGTCTGTACACGAGACATGAATCCATCTGGAAAGAGTCCACCGTCCGTGCGTTGCCCAGATTGTGACAAGTTTGCCCAGAACACATTGACGAGAGCAAG